ACCGCGCCGATCCGATCTGGTCTTCTCCCTTCGCTCGTGCCCACCCCATCCGACGCCGGGGCGGGGCTGGGACAGGGATAAGTCGTTCCGGAGCGTTCTGGAACTTTCTCAGAGCGTTACGGTTGTGGACGACGATCAATGGAGATGAAGCACGTCGTTAAATAATTTACAGATGTCTGAAACGTGTGTTAAACATGTTGTAAACATGTAGAAATCATGTTTTAAGAATTTCTATAACATGTTGTAAACTCACAATGTATGAGAGGATTGTTAGGGTGTCCATTGTCATGGCGTCCACAACGTTACGGAACCCTCTGAGAAGGCCGCGGCGCCCGCTGCATCCTCCAGAACTCCGGGGCGGGGGTTTGTCCACAACTACCGCCTGTGGGATCGTTTTTCGTGGACCCACAGGCGGTGGAAATGGATACGTTCGGGCCCTTGGGGGCCAACATGTAGCCCCAGCCACCGCTCGCTGGGGCACTGGGAAGTCGGTTCCCAGGCAGTGGATATGGATAAGTCCCCGCTCCCCGCCTCGCAAGAGCTGGCAGGTCTCAGAGGTCCCCATCTGTCCTGGTCCGATTTCGTTCCTCCTCCCTCCTCCCTCCGCCTCCTCCTCCTCCTCCTCCTGCTCCTCCTGCTCCTCCTGCTCCTCTTGCTCCTCGCTCCTCCTCCTCCTCCTCCTCCTCCTCCTCCTCCTCCTCCTCCTCCTCCTCCATGCTCCGCGGCGAGGCGGCTCGTCCTCGTTCTCCCTCGGCTGGGACGCGGACCCGCAGCAGCCGGTGCGTCCCGGCTCCAGGACGTCGGGCCAGGCCCGCCCGCCCGCTCCCTCCCTCCCCCTCCGCCAGGGAGGAGCGAGGAGCGACGAGCGACGAGCGAGGAGGAGTTTTTTCATTCTCTTGCACAGCTGTGTTATGGAGCTCGGGCCTCTTTATTTTCGTCGTCGCCGTTCGTTCGTCCGTCGTTCGTTTTCCCTCTTCCCCCCTCGGCCACGGAAGGAAACTCCGGGAGGAAGGAGGCGAAAGCCTCCTGTCCTTCGCAGCTCCTTGGTGCAAGAGCCAGGGCACGCGTGTCACTTGTTTGCGCGTGGGCTGACGTCCAGCCTCAGCTCCCATGGTGAAAGAGACCGACTGGCGACGAAGGGCCCGAGGGGATCGAAGCGGGACGAGGGACGGAGACCCAGGACCCAGACAGAGCCGTCCGAGAGGGCTGACCGAACACACAGGACCGAAAACATCGAGGGCCATCAGTCGCCGTGCAGTGCACCTACAGCATTCGCAACTCAGGAGTCCCAGTAAGCGTGCGAGTGGGAGAGGGAGGGGGAGGGAGCGAGGACTAGGAATTGCGAGGAGCAGGCGCCTCAAAAGAAGAGAAGAAGGGAGGGGAAGAGGAGGGGCAGGAGGAGGAAGGGCGGGCGGGGGATGCACAGCGAGGTGGAGGAGGAGGAGAAGGAGGAGGATGAGGAAGAGGAGGAGGAGGAGGAGGAGGAGGAGGAAAAGGAGGAGGAGGAGGAGGTGGAGGAGGAGGTGGAGCGAGGAGCGAAGACGAAGCGGAGGAACACATAGCTATTCGCATATACCAGAATGAGCGGGCCGAACGGTCTTTCCATGTCCCTGGGCGCGTGGCTGAGGTGGAGTTCCGAGGTGCGGATTGTCTTGTTGGGTAGCTGAATTTTCATTTCTAAGGCATTATTATAGTTGACCCCCCCTGCCCGGTGCACCTTGTGTTTTCCAATTCCAGTGCTCCTCCCGCGGCTCGCACCTTGTTTCTTACAAGGGAAAGTCTTCCTCATATTGGGTTGCTGGCCCCCGAACTACAACAACAACAACGGCTCCCGCCGGATACTCCCCCACAGTTATTTCAAAATCGTTATTTCGCGCGGGACCTCCTCACAATGCACATACGCATGAATCGCGCTCTCGCGGGGGACTTCCTCACAATTTAGTCAGACGCCGCGCCCTCGACGCTCAGAAATCGCGCTCTCGCTCTGGCTTTCTTCATGATTTTCTTTGGAGTCGCGCTATCGCTCGAGAGGTCCTCGCGATTCCTGCAGAATCACGCTTCGGCAACCCGCATGCTCGACCTGGCCGCCCGTTAGGATCTACCCGCCCGATCAGCCCGTTTGGTTCTGCCACGTGTCTTCTGCTCCTAGCCCCCCTCCTGCTAATCGCTCTCGTGTTCCATTCTTCTCCCTCCCCCTTCCATCCGTCCTCTCTTCCCCTTCTTTCTCGGCTGCGCAAAATACACGTGGCAGGTAAGCAAGATATACCCCGAAGGGGGTACGATCGAAGACAGAGGGCGGGTATCGAGGGCTTGTGATATACATGATGACTGGCACGCAAGACCGTAATAACGAACAGTCTTAACATTGATTTGCTGTTGCGTTGAATCCTGACTTCGAAAGGATACTTCTTGTTTATCCCCCGCTCCAGTGCATCTTGTGATTTTCAACTTGAGTGCCCCTCCCGGGGCTCGCACCCTTTTCCCCAGAGTGCTTGCACTTGGGGGCTCTTATTTCTCTTCTAAGGAACTTGCCTGGAATGTCGGTCTGGCGGCTCCGTGCTCGCCGTCGCCGCCCCGTCGCCGCCTCGACGCCGCCCGTCGTTTGTGCCTGTTGCCGTCGCCGCCTAAATTGCACAACTTAGATTGCACCGCATGTATTGCACCACATTGCATAGATTGTTCGTTCCACATAGATTGCACACTATATATATACATACGAAGCCCCCGTTCAGGGGTGGGTCGCGGTTGGGTCGCGGGCGGGTCGAGGGGTGGGTCGCGTGTGGGTCGAGGGATGCTGGGCCTTGGCGGACGGCGCCGGAGGCATAAAGCCCTCCCCAGAACATGCCTCGAGGATCTCTCCAGCGCAAGGCTGGAAGATCCCGCTGGGCCCGACACGGTGGCGGATGGGCCGTTACGCTGGTTGTCCCAGTGCTTAGGCGGAGCACTTCGGCCATGCATTGTGTCACGGTTTAGAGGTCAGGACTTGAAGGAGGGTCCCCACGCACTTCCACCTTCTTTGCACCGTAACCCAATGCAACAGTCAACCAATTTCTCGTCTTCCTTCCTCCCTCGCTCTGCCCGTCCTTATATACAGCAGATGGCGCTGGGAGGGCTGAGGGTGAGGGCGGGCAGTTGCCGCCAGAGGAAGGAGCATCCGAGGTCGGTCTTTCAACGAGGTGTTGGGTGGAACGTCTGTCGTTGAAGACGACTTGGAGGGCCTGGGTGCATCGCCACAGAGTAGAGCCCGTTACTTCACGCTGCGTGCCTGGTGTGGTAACGGTGTCGGTTGCGCACCGAGTCCGTGGCGCACCGTTTCCGTGACGTTCAGATGCCGGGTTACGGAGTGCCGTCTTGGACCAAGTCCGTGGCGCACCATCTCAGAGACATTGACATTCGTGCTGCGGTTGGCCGCGTTGCGTGTGTAGAGGTTGTCTTATTCCCACTGCCGCTGGGTGGCAGATGGGCAGACACGCCCCCCCAATGGATAGGCCGGCATAGCCAAAATCCGAGATCGGCCTCTCAACGGTGCGATGAAACGGATCGTACCCAAATTCGTGACGCAACGGAATTGTCACGAATTTCTGTGCCGCGTCCAAGGGGGCATTCCTCGACAGTGGAGCCCCAAACCGCTCAATCAGAGCGGGGTGACTTCCCAAATCCCCGTTGAAGGATTTGGCATCCTATCCCGAGGTATAGCCGAAAGCTATAAGTGAAGTGTAATACGTCCTTCACAGCCGTTGGCAAGAAAAAACGGGTACTCGGACCCCCCCTGGTGTCAGCAGGTGGTCGATAGTTTTCTGCAGTATTTCCGGCTTTGAGGATGTGGCGTGCGGTCGGCCAACTATTGGATTTTTGTTCGCAGTCGCACAGTCTCCAGTATTCCGTTGATGGCCGCCTCATCCGTAAATATGGGTTCAGGTACCCTGTGAGACTATAGCGCGCTTCGCTTGGTAATCCTCTCCCCTCCTGCCTTCTACCTGCCTGCCACCTGCCTCCAGCCTTGCCTCCTGCTTTGTCTTACCTTGGGGCTCGATGGGGGGCTGAAGTTTGCCAAACTGTGGCAACGTTGGATGGCTGCTGCCGGGGGGGGCAGCATAGTGGGTACCGAGCGGGGATTCAAATTAGACCTCGCCATGCCTGGGGAGCTGCGAAGTGTAAAGCTGTCGCCACTTTGCGGGGCTGCTGGGGGCCAGCATAGTGGGTACCGAGCGGGGGGTTCAGATTCGACCTCGCAAGGCCTGGGGGGCTGCGAATTGCGAAACCGCGGCACTTTGGAGGGCTGCTGGCGGGGGGCAGCATAGTGGGTGCAGGTCGAAAATCCAGGTTGGACCTCGCCAGGCTTGGGGGGCTGCAAAATCCGAAACTGACGCTACTTGGGTGCCAGCGTAGTGGTTACCGAGCGGGGATTCAGAGTAGACTTCGCCATGCCAGGGGATCAGCGAAGTGCGAATATGTCGCAACTTTCGAGGGCTACTGGGGGGTGCAGCGTAGTGGGTACCGAACGGGGATTCAGATCAGACCTCGCTATGCCAGGGAGGCCGTGAATTGCGAAACCGTCGCCACTTGGGAAGGCTGCTGGGGGAGCCAGCGTAGTGGTTACCGAGCGGGGTTTCAGATTTGAATTTGCCATGCCTGGGTAGCTGCAACATGGGACACCGTCGCTACTTGGGAGGGCTGCTTAGGGTGTCAGCATAGTGGGTACCGAGCGGGGATTCAGAGTAGACCTCGCCATGTCTGGGGGGGCTGCGACCTGGGCTGCTGGGGGGTCCGGCACCTCTTGCAGAAGCTGCTGGGGGGCGGGCAGCGTAGTGGGTACTGAGCAGGGATTCATATTAGACCTCGCCATAGCTGGGGGGCTGCGACCTGCCAAAGTGTCGCCACATTCCAGGGCTGGCCAGCATAGTGGGTGCTGGGCGAGGCTTCAGATGGGACCTCGCCATGCTTCGAGGTCTGCGAGTTGCGAAGGTGTGGCCACGTTCGAGGGCAGCTGGGGGGCCAGCGTAGAGTAGTGGGTAACCCTGGGAAGCAATCAGTAAACCCTCCTCCCCCCCCCCCCCTCATCAGAGGAAATTATAACGCTTCCGGCACCGGGGCTGGGGCGGAAGCGATATCCCCCCCCGCAGGTCACCAGAGGTCCGCGGAGGGGAGGTCCCCGGAGGTTCCCAGGAGGCATCCAGAAAGGCCTCCACAAGCCTTTGATTGCCTGTCCCCTTGGGCCCTGCTTTCAAGCCGCAATCGCTTCCTGTGATTCGGTGCGTTTCTGTGAGATTCCTCAGAGATTCCTTTGATACTCCGATTGGCTTCTTTTGAGATTCCTTGCCGTTTCCATTGTGATTCTTTTGGGACTCCTTTGAGACTCCTCTGGTGTTCCTTTGATGTTATTCTGGGGGTCCCTTGAGGTTCCGGTCATATCCCTTTGATGCCCCATTGCTTAAGGGAGCATCACATCGACCTCCGGTGCCTGTGGATTATTTCATTTTCGATAAATGTGCTAACATATCGCGGGGGGGTTCGCGGAATCCGTTTGCGATATCTCTCCGTGGACTCTCCCATAGGATCCCCTGAAAGAATCAATTTCCCTAGTCCGGTCGCCATAGGGACTGCTTATGTCCACGCGAGCCCGCGTTTTCCAAATTCCTTAGATTCCTTCGTGGTTCGTTTGAGCTGCCGCTGAGATGCCTTTGCGATTTCTGTTGGGCTCCTTTGAGATTGCTTTGAACTTCCATTGGTTCCTTTGATATTATGCGTGGGATTCCTTGTGATATTCTTATGGGGTTCCTTCGGGGGTCCTTTCAAGTTCCTGTGACATTCCTTCGACAATCCCTGAAGGGAGCATCACATCGACCTCCGGTGCCTGTGGATTATTTGATTTTCAATACATGTGCTAACATATCGCGGGGGGGTTCGCGGAATCCGTCTGCGATATCCCTCCGTGGACTCTCCCATAGGACCCCCCTGAAAAAAAAACAAATTTCCGATTGCGGTCGCAATGGGGTTTGCCTATGTCCACGCGAGCCCGCGTTTTCCAGATTCCTTAGATTCCTTCGTGGTTCGTTTTAGCTGCCGCTGAGATGCCTTTGCGATTTCTGTGGGGTTCCTTTGAGATTATTTTGAATTTCCAATCGGGTTCCTTTGAGATTCTGCGTGGGCTTCCTTCTGAGATTCCTCTGGGATTCCTTTGGGGGGTCCTTTCAAGTTCCTGTGACATTCCTTCGATTGGGCTCCTCACGGATTCCTGCGACGTCCTATGTATCCGTACGGTTTTCTATGACCTCGATTTCATTTTTGCCATTTTTGATGCACCTTAGATTTCCGATGCGCGTCAGTTTCCCAGTGTTCTAGCAAGGCGGGCACCCATCGGCAAGCGTTCGTGCGCATTGGTTCTTCAGGCTGTCGCCTCACGTTGCCGCCAGCTTGGGGCCCGGGGAGGGGGACAACTTAATTAATTATTTAATGTTTTTTTATGTGCTAACGATATCGCCGGAGGGCGCCGCCCAAAAACATTATTTTTATGTTATTTTCTGTGCTAACGATATCGCCAGGGGGGTTACTGTTTGCTTCCCGGGGTTACCAAGCGTGAAATTACATTAGATGCCGCCTTGCCTGCGGGGCCGCAGCATGGTAAACTGTCGCCAGTTGCTTGGGAAGGCATCGTGGGTTTCGAGTGGGGGTTCAGAGTAGACCTCGCTATACTTGGCGGGCTGCGAACTGCGGGCCCGTCGCCACCTTCAAGGGCCGCTGCGGGGCGCCCGAGTTGCTCGGCACTGTCGAGGGCTGCCAGGGGTGTCCAGCGCAGAGGGCACCGAGTGGGGATTCAGATTAGACCTCGCCATGCCTGGGGGGCTGCGAATTGCGAAACCGTCGCCACTTGGGAGGGCTGCTGGTGGGAAGGCAGCGGGGCGATGTCCTACGTTACGGCGCAGACTCGTATTAAGCCTCGACGTTCCTGGAGTGCTGCGAAGTGCGGGACTCTCGCCAAGTCGGGGGTTCGTGGGGAGCCCAGCGCAGCGACGCCCTACGGGGGCTCCTGTTCGACCTCGCCGTGCGCGAGGGCTGCGAACTGCTAAATTGGCGCCACATTCGAGAGCTGCACGGGAGGCCCCCTCACAGACTCGCTTTAAGGGGGCTCATATTAGACCTCGACCTGTCTGGGGGGCTGCGAACTGCGATTCTGTCGCAATTTTCGTTGGCTACTGGGGGGCCTACCACTGACGCCCCACGGAGAATCAGATTAGACCTCGCCGTTCCTGGGGAAATGCGAACTTCGAAATTGCCTCTACTCTTGCGACACGACGTCCGCGGCCTGCCAGGGCTAGACCATCCACCGCGGAGTCGTCGGCGCTGGGCGCAAGGCCGCGGACGACCTGGACGGCCTGTGGCTGCATCTCTACGCAATGCTTTCCGGGGACACGCAGGTCGAGAACCTGCCGATGATGATGATCGTGGTCTGCCGCCCGCTGACCTGGCGGCGCGCCCGCGGGCGTTGAGCTCCCGCACCGAAGGGTGCAGGGAATAAACGGAGACGTTGCCAGTCGAGCGAGGATTCGATCTTTTCTTGTCATCGTTCTGAAATGCTGACGGCTCGGGGCGCCAAGGCGAAATTGGATCGGCGTCGTTGCCCAGCACCGAGCCGGTTGAAAACATCGATACCCTCCTCCCTCGCCCCTCATCCCTCGTCGTCGAACTTTTCCACCTGCCCCCGCCTGTTCCTGTTTCCGCGATGTCATTTCATGTTCCCCCTGTTTATTTCTCTTTCTCCTTTTCGTTCCCGCTCCCCTCCCATTCGAGCATTGGGCTTCGCTCCGCGTCCTTCTATTGCTGTCCTGTGGGCCGCGCGACGCGAGGGCATTCCATGTCGCTTGCGCAAGTTTTGCGTTGCCATCATCCATATCAGTGTGGGCCAAGTGCTCTGGTCACTTGGTGCAAATGGGTTGGGCACGTGGCAGCTCAGTCATAAGGACTAGGGGTGGAGGGGGAAGGGAGGAGGAGGATGGGGATTGAGGGGAGGACGGAGGGTGGATGATAATGACACGAGGGCGAGGAGGAGGGGAGGAGGGGAGGAGGAGGAGGAGGAGGAGGAGGAGGAGGAGGAGGAGGAGGAGGAGGAGGAGGGGGAGGGGGAGGACGAGGAGGAGGAGGACAAGGAGGACAAGGAGGTCGACACAACGGAGGACGGGGAGGGAGGGGATGAAGGAAAGGGATGGCCCTCACCCTCTCTATGTGCGTCCTGGCGGCCCCCACCCCGCACGGGATGCCAGGCCTACGGCGCCGGTGCGCCAAGCACGGTGCCCCCTCAGCAGGAGTGGGCGGGGCAGGGCCCGCTCGGGCGACGAGATCTACGGTTATACAACACGTCCCTGGCCAGGCCCGTTCTGGGCTCAGGAGCGGTGGGTGTGTATGGATCTCGTCGCCCTACCCACGACTTTTTCTCCCCTCCTCTGCTGCCGCTGTCGCTCTGCATTCTCCGCGCCGCGCTGCTGGAGGCAGTGCCACCAGTAGTGCTGCCAGGGGATCGCAGGGGGTACGACCACGTGGAAGGGACGAGCGCTACCCTGGCCCAAGCCCGCGGGAACTGCGATATACAGAGAACGTGCTGTCCCTTCGAACTCCCCCCCCCTGCAGTCAAAACTGTTGACTGAGGCCCGCTATGGCTTCGAGAAAGGGTCTCGGTGCCCTTTGGGCCCTTCCAGGGGCCTCTCCCCCAGGCCGTGCGCAACCGAGACCCCCCGAAGAAGCGGCCCCGCTTCCCGTCCACGGTCGGGCGCTGCCGTCCCCAGGGTCTCCGAGGAGGCCCCCGCGGCTTCCAGGGCGCCCCTCACGACCAGGAGGGCCCCATTGTGCGTCAAAGTGGAGCGAGAACGGCGGGGCACATCTGGGGCCAGTGGCAGCGCCGGGGGGCGGATGGGCTCAGAGGGGGGAGGCGTCGGCCCTCGCCGATCGCGTCCCCATAGATAGCCCGCCTCGCCCAGGAGTTAGCGCGCGGAATTCGGGCCTGTCGACGATCCATCGGCGATGCATCGCTGACTCCAGGTCGGTGCTTCCCCCTCCGAGCTGGTCCCCCATTGCCTGTTTGACGCCTGTCCAACGCCTGCGGAGGAAGGTCTCCCAGGAGACACGGGCAGTGATACACCTTTGTGAGCTCAGCGTGCTTGCGAAAGCGAGGAAAAGACATGAGTTTGTCTTCTTGTCGGTGGTGCCCCAACATACTTCTACTATGTGTGCATTGCCCCTCCCAGGGGCGACGCGCGCACCGAGAAATCTTATAGTATATGCGTCGTGTCGGGCGCTTTCTGGCCGCACCGCTTGGGAAACGATACGTTACAATGTGGTTATACTATATGTTCGTGTCGGACGCGCACCTCCAAGGAGGACATGTAGTATTAGTATGTTTCTGTGCGTGTCATCTTGGGGCCCTTTTGGGAGTGCCCTTGGGGACCCCTTGGGCCGTGTTGGAGGCCTTGTGGGCCATGTCACCCTCTGGGACCACCGACGCGGCGCCCCGTGGCAAGGAAGCTCTGGCCGCCCCTGCTGGTCGGATGCGGCCGGGCCATGGCCTCCAGAGCCTCTTTTAAGAGGCCTCTGGAGGCTTCTGGAGGCCTCCCTCCTCCCTCCTCCCTCCTCCCTCCTCCTCCTCCTCCTCCTCCTCCTCCTCCTCCTCCTCCTCGTCCTCCCTCCTCCTCCTCCCTCCTCCCTTCTCCTCCTTCTCCTCCTCCGCCTCCTCCTCTTCCTTCTCTTGCTACTCAATATCCTAACGAGGTTTAGGTAGTTCTGGCTCTGCGGAGAGGGGACCTTGCACCATGTTGTCACAGTCACAGCCTCTTCCTTCTCCTCCTCCTCCTCCTCGTCCTCCTCCTCCTCCTCCTCCCCGGGAAGCTGTCAGGGCCGTCCAACAGTTTCAGCAAGAGCCCGGCAGGATCAAGCTTTCGGAGGGCGCTCGCGCGTCTCGGGCAACAGCTACGCGAACGGGAGCAACCAGAACTGCGGCAACGTAACCCGGGAGCCGCTGAGAAGCAGCGGAGGCGGCAGGGAGTCAAGGAGGCAGCCCGTAAAGCTGGAGCCCAAAAGATGGGCTAAACATAACGATGACGATGCTGTTCATGACGACTGTGGGGACGATGTCGGCGACGACGTTGGTGATGGTGTGAAGCTTATGGTGATGTGGTAGTGGCGGTGGAAATTATGATTATGGGGATGATAACGGCGTGATGATGATAGTGTTGATGTTGATGATAGTGATGGTGGTGGTGATGGTGACGTGGATAATGATGGTGATGGCGATGCAGAAGAAGAGGATCACGATTATAGTGATGGGGATGGTGATGGTGGTGGTGATGATGATGATGATGCTGGTGATGGCTATGATGATAGTTGTGATGATGATGATGATGATGATGATGATTATGCTGATGATGATGATGATGATGCTGATGATGATGATGATGATGAAGCTGCAGCTGACCATGAAGATCAGTATGATGATGAATATGTTAATGCTGCTGGTGATAATGCTGCTGATGATGCTGCTGGTCATGATGATGATGATGATGCTGCTGCTGATGCTGATAATGATGCTGATGATGATGATGATGATGGTAACGACGACGACTATAAAGATGACTATGACGGTGATGGTGATGATGTTGACGCTTAGGAGGAGGAGCAACATGATGATGGTGATGGTGATGATGATGATGATGCTGATGATGATGATGATGATGAAACTGATGATGATGATGATGATGAGGATGATGATGATGATAATGATGATGCTGATGCTCGTCATGATGATGACGGTGGCGACGATGTACGCTTGTGTTGATGAGCATGTGTGGCTGAAGTGTGCGCTCGCAGTAAATAGCATGTCGTGTTAGATCTTGTCGTATAACACCTGTGTGCCGTGTTTTTCTAGAAACCATGGCTTTTGCAAGGGTTCGGCGGACGCGCGCAGAGACGCGTTCTTGTGGCCCGCATAATTTTATTTGACAGAGTTGGTGAGCGCGCGATGGTTGTTGAACGTTTTCGACCGTCGCGCGCATGTGACCTGCCTGCTCAAGCTTGACAGACATGTGAAGCAACCTGGAGATATCTCCAGACCTCAGCTGCAGTGCGCGTAGAAATCTGCCAGCTTTTGGTTGGAACGTACGGCTTGTTGCTTGTTAATGAGAAGCGATGCGCAACAAACTAGCCGAACACAATTGATTTCTGCATGATTTTGACATGCGCGCGCGGCGGCGCGCGCGCTTGCCCCGCATCGCATGTTTTGGCATTGGGCTCTTTGAGAAAACCAGATCAACGCATGTGCACCCCATATTGTTTGGCAGGGGTGAAGGGGGGGGGAGTACGGAGACGGTTCGGCATGCTGTTGACCAGTATTTAGGATGGACTACCGTGCAGAACAAACGTGAAACACATAATCTGTGCAGGGGAGAGCTGTTACTCTCGGCCTCGGGGGGGGACACTTCTCAGGAGCGGGAATCAGCATTGTGGAATCTATGTGGCGAAATTATTGTGGTGCAAACTGTTTCGGGCAATCGCCGGGGTGCAACCAGCAGTCTTCTTGAATCTGTTTGGTGCGCTCTATCTGTCGCAATCTGTGTGGGGCAATCTGTGTGGCGTAAATGCAGATAGCGTGCGAGACGGCCACGAGACTGCCATTGGTTCGGTAACAAATCGTAGGAGCCTTGTGTACCCTCGTAATTCAGTCTCTAGCGTCGGTTAGCGCCGACTAGCGTCTGGGAGGTGATGAGATAGCGCTGATCTAGCGCCGGCTAGCGTAGATTCGCGTCGATTCAGCGTCGATTAGCGTCGACTAGTGTCGATTAGCGTCGATTCGCAAGAGCCGACAAGATGGTATGGGAGGCTCCCGTGAGCTGCCACCGAACATGGGCAACCACCGGCCGAACACCCAGAAACGCCAGCCAAACAGTCTGAGCTGAGGCACGCTCCTCCTGGCCGTCCGAAGTGCCCGGCACCTAACTTCAAGGAGGGCGCACGCAAGAGCCACGTGTCGGGATGGTGCGCCGACCCGCCCAGCCTCGGCCAGGAGGGCGTACGCACCGTTTCAGGGTCCAGGATGGCGGATGGCCCCGGCCAGGCACTGCGGTGGTGTACAGGTGCCGTCTGCGTATGCCCGCCTCTGCGGGTGAGGATTTTTGTGTACCAAGGTTATCCACGGGATGCCTCGAGAACTGTTGTCAGGCATCGCTTTGGGAAAAGAGGTAGAGAAGGAGGATGAGGAGAACGAGGCCGACGAGGAGGGTGTAGGGGCCGAGGCAGCGGAGGGCGAGAGCAGGCGGAGGGGGGCTAGACGAGGTGGCAGAGGAGAACGAAGAAAGAGGAAGATGGATGATACGGAACATCGTAGGATGAGGCGGAGCTGAAGAAGGAGTGCGAGGCATTTGGAGAAGGATCAACAGGAGGAGGAGGAGGAGGAGGAGCAAGAGGAGGAGGAGGAGGAGGGGAAGGGTGGGTTGTCGGGGAACCTCGCCACTGTGCGCTCCTCCATGCCCTCGCGGGCTTCTCTGCTTTCCCTTCTTCGTTTGCCCTTATAGCTCCTGTTCTGCACGCACTGCTCGTACCATTATGTTGTGTTCACGCCCGTGCTCATACCTTTTCAGTCAGCACGGGCGCTCAGTCGCAGCGATCGCTCCGATCAACTTCGGCTTCGGTGCAGTGTAGACAACGGAAGTGGTGTATGGAGGATAGTGAAGACAGAGTCGGGATTGGGGGGAGAGATGGTAGAGCGGCGAGGGGGACGGATCGGATGGGGGATCTCCTCGTTCCCTATCTACGTTTTGAAGGGCACTGTCCCCGTGTTCCTTCCCGAACTGGCCTCGCGTCTGGAATCCTTTTGCAGCATGGCCGTCTCTCTTGACACCGCAGCGAAATGCGAGCCAGAACCTTTTCGAATCACGGGTTCGAGTATACTGAAGCAAAGCACAGCCCTGCCCAGACAGCTTGGAGCATGGGCCAGCGGGCCGTTCTGGCACCAACGTTGTGCTCGCGTCGAGTGAATTCTTGACGCTTCGCGTATCCCCACCAGCTAGTCGCCTGCCGCTGGCGCTTCCGCCTGCGGCCGTAAAAAAAAAATATCCCCACCAGCGCGCCCGGGAATTTAGTCGCGGCCGCAGCCCGACCGTGACCGCTCGCCGTCGGCGCCTCCGCCTGCGGTTGTAAAAAAACAAAAAAAAAGTATCCCCACCAGGCGTGTCTCTCGGTCGATGCTAGTGCATGGCAGGCACCCTGGGACCCCTTGTACGCCATTCCCGCGCCGAGGTTGGAGACTCCCTACTGTTCAGATGGTGTCTCAGGGCGTACTGCTTACTATGGCCTCTGACACGTTGGGGGTATTGCATCGCGCCACTTTGGCAGCGTAATTACTGCTCCCTGGGTGCTGGTCCCGCCGTCAGACTCCCTGGGCTGCAGCACCCTTGCACCCGCCGCCTGGCGCCGGCCGCGGCCCGCGCGCGCGTCCGGCCAATTAGTTTCGGCCGCAGCCCGACCGTTACTCGCCGCCGCTGGCGCTTCCGCCCGCGACTGTAAAAAAAAGTATCCCCACCAGCCCATCCAGTAACGATGCGCAGGCGAATGGAGGTGATCAGGGAAGTGAGGGAGCATACAGAGTAACAAAGGGCTGGGGAACCCGTCTTACCCAAGACGGTGAGGATGGACGAGGAATCGGAGGAGGAGGAGGAGGAACTGAAGGAGGAGGAGGGGGAGCGGGAGGAGGGAGGAGGGAGGAGGAGCAATAGGCGGATGAGGAGGAGGAGGAGGAGCAGGACGAGAATGAGGAGGAGGAGGATGAGGAGAAGGGCGAGCAGAATGGCCAGAGGCCTCTTGGATGCCTCTCGGAGTCTCTTCGGATGTCTCTTGGGAGCGTCCTGACGGCCTCTTAGGGCGTCTTGGGAGCGTCTTGGCGGTCCCAGAGGCCTCTTGGGGCGTCTTGGGTGCCTCGGGGAGCCTCTTGGGGACCTCTTGGTGCCATCTTGGGGCCATCTTGGGGCCATCTTGGCGCCTCTTGGGGCCTCCTGGGCGCCTCTTGGGGCCATCTTGGAGGCGATCGATCAAAGAACAGGGTGGGGTTAATTAGCCCCGCCCCTCTAGATCCTCTAACATCGCCTCTTGGGCTCATCTTGAGGCGCTCTTGGAGCGCTCTTGGGCGCTCTTGGGGCCGTCTTGAGGCTCTCTTGGGCCCCTCTGGGGCTGTCTTGGGCCCTCTTGGAGCCATCTTGAGGCCTCGGAAGGCCATCGGAAGCGAAAAGGCGAGAAAGCAACATTCATTGGTGTTCCTTAGGTTTTTGAAGGATTTGGGCCTCTTGGGGGGTCTCCTTGGAAGTCTCGGAGGCCTCTTGGAGTCGTCTTGGGGCGATCTTGGGGCCTCTTGGAGCATCTGGGGAGCCATCTTGAGGCATCTTGGGCTATCTCGAGACATCTTGGAGGTCATCTTGGCCTCTCCGAGGCCCTCTTGGAGCCGTCTTGGGCCATCTTGGACGTTCCAACGCGTCGCGGAACCCCCCGTCCAGGTCCAGGGGAGGGAGTTAGGGGGAGGGGTAAACCCCTCCCCGAAGGGGAAGGAGGGAAGATGGAAGAGGAAACTCCCTAAACCACCTACGCCCAGAGGGCTGGTGGGATTATGTTGGCCCAAGCTCGGAGGTAGTTGTCACACAATGCGTACGAAGAGCCTGTTGTGCTCAACATTGTAGCCGGGATACCTTACCAGCAGTTCATCATTGCGCGCATATTCAGGATAACATGCCGGCCGAAGGGATGGGCTCGCCCTTCCCAGCCTACAGGTGCAAGTGCATTGCTTCATGCATGCTACATTCAGATCCTGTGCCGCGGCCAACGTGTAACCACTGCGCATGGGGCCTCATGAGGAGGCGCGTGTGGCGGGGCAGAACAAGAGGAGGGAGGAGGCCGAACAGGAGGGCAGGGGCTTCAGTGGGGGGCTGCCGGAGGTATTGACCGATCACCCGAGCACCCGTGTCGCCGCTCCTCCAGGCCGGGGGGGCAGGGCGTTATCCTTCGGGCGCTGCTAGAGTTGGACGGAGCCCGAGGCGGCCTTAGCTTGTCCGGGGACCCATACATACGGTGGCTCGATATCATCGAGACAGCTGTTCTTTGCCACCTGGCGCCTTTCGAGCTTGCTTTCAGGCTCGAGGCCATCAAGCAGCAACCCAGGGCGAGAAAACGGTCCCGGGGAAGAGGTCGAGAGCTTAGATGGCCCATGCCACAACACAATCGTGATGTCGGCTGTTCGAGGAGGCTCAGAGGGCCGCCAGAGCACCCCGCCACGCAGCCCAGACTTCACCTCTCTCGATTGGGGTTGCGGATCTGCTTGGCGATCTTTCCACTTGGCTCGTGATGCGAACGGCCATGTGGTCCTTCTATGGAACCAGAAATTCGCCACGAAGCCCAGGGGGCCCCCGGGCACCAGAGAGGCGCGAAAAGCTGGCGGTACCTGGGATCCTCCACTGGGTCCACTGGCCTCCTTCGCCTTCCTGCTGCTCCTCCTCCATCCTCGTCCTCATCGTCGTCACAGGCGAGGCCTGGGGTTGCGCACAGACGGCCCCTGCAGCCAGGTCTCGGCTGGCCTCGACAGGCCCCAGAGATAGTCAAAGGCAGTCTCAACACCCTGGAGTGCAACCCCGGAGCTTGCCATTCCTCCTCGGCACGTCATCCGCAGTCAACAGGGTTGCCAGGCATAGTACGCTGTCGGACGGGCACCATGACCCAACTGACCAGTTGAATCACACGGTTGACCACGGCAGCGTTGATAAGATCAAGGTTCGGGTGGGTATGCTCGCAAACCACAGTGGGGACCCATGCCAAGAAAAACCCTGCTTGCCTCCAGGATGCCCTGGGTCTCTTGGGTTTCGATGGTCTTGCGATGGGACGCATGACGTTCCCACAGCAAAAATCAGTGGACGTCCTGGGGTCTCAGGGTTGTGTTTCTTGTGAAATATTTCTTATGGGCTGGCCTCCACTGTACTCTCCCCCTACCTTCTTTTTTCCTTCCCCTCGCCCATTCCCCCTTCCTTCCCCTTCTGCTCCCGGGGGTCTCATGAGGAGGCCCTGTGGCCGCTTGGAGCAATCTTGGGGCGGTCTTGGGGCCTCTCGGAGGCATGTTAGACGCCATGTTGAACCGATTTGGGCAATTTTGTGTCATCTTGGAGGCCATCTTTAGGCACCGACGAGAGCCGCGCACGGGACTAGGACGCCACGGAGATGGGCGAGCTGGAACGCGGGGCACCCGCTGATACGGCAGGTTCGCGTCGTGCCGACAGGCGGCGACCCCAGCGCGTGCGTGTAAGGTTGAACGCCGCCCGTGGCCAATAATCAGCCCGTCGTTGAACGATCCGGCGCTCACGGAACGGCCGATCATTCAAGTTTGCGCGATCCCCGTTGCGTCAGCCTTGGAAAGCAATAGCGAAGGCTCATGCCGCATCCATCTGTCAATGCCCCCCCAATCCTCAATGTTGGCGGTGGGTCGAGCGAGCTGCACTTCGACCGCAGTCCTGCCCGCGCGTGCCCACTTTGAGTTTTGGGGAGCGGGGGAGTGTCCACCAATTGTTTCCCTCTACAAGAGGGCGGGAAGTGAGAAGGAGAAGGCCTTCTGGGAAGGTTCGGAAGTCCCCCAGCCTTCTGAGAGGTTTGCTTCAGCCTTCCCCGAAGACAAAACAAACAACTTCTCGGAAGGCGCGAGGGACTGAGACGTCCCGCCGCCTTCTGAGAAGGCCTCCTCCTTCTCATGTCCCCCTCCTCCTCGCTCGCCGCCGATCTTTGGGGGAGAAGCGGCTCGTTGGACCTCGGAGGTTTTCTCCTTTCAGGAGGCCCTCATCCTACCTCCTACCTCCTACCTCCTCCTCCTACCTCCTACCTCCTCCCCCTCCTCCCTCTTCCTCCCTCTTCCTCCTCCTCCTCCTCCTCCTCCTCCTCCTCCTCCTCCTACCTCCTCCTCCTCCTCCTCCTACCTCCTACCTCCTACCTCCTCCTCCTACCTCCTACCTCCTCCTCCCTTCCGCTTGGACAGGCCGCCGCGCCCCGCGACGCCGCCCGCGTGGGCTGCCGGCGCGCACGCGCGGCGCGCCAACGGGAGGAGCCCGACGCGCCGAGGGGCCGAGGCTCGCCCTCCGGAGGGGCCCGAGAGGCCCTCGCCGGGGCACCGTCTCGCGGCTCTCTCGCCGCGGCAGCGGGGCGCGTTGAGCAGCGGGCTACGCCTGCGCGAGGCGGGGATCTGTGCATGACCCCAGTTCGCCGAGCGCGTCCCGCTGCTCGCAGCAAGTCCCTACATGCAAATGTCCAAACGTCTGCCTTGGTGTAATATATCGTGAATCCACTGCGGGGGATCCAGGCTATTTGCGAGTAGCTACTTTGAAAGTAGTGGAGTAGTGGAACGCGCTCGTCTATTAGTGGGCCCTGGAAACGACGGCCGTTTTTTACCGGTTCCGTTTTTCCGTTGCTTGTTTTGCTGGCTCCGACGCCGTTTTTGTTGCCGGTTCCGTTGCCGTTTCTTGACTTGTTCCGGCTCCGCTTCCAATCCTGGAGCCGTTGTTTTGCCGTTTCCGGTCGCCGTTTTTTGGCCGCTCCCGCTTTCAAGAGACCTTTTTTCGAAAACGGTGAAAAAAACGGCCTTGCCGGTTCTGGGGCCCGCTAAGCCCATGACCACCGCCTGGGGGATCGATCCTCTTGGAACTCTTGGACCTCCACATGCGGTGGATACGGATGTGTTCAGGCTCCCGGTGGGCAAAACATATCCATATCCACCGCCCGCTGGTGCACCAGGACGTCGGTTCACAGGCGGTGGCCATGGATAAATCCCCGCCTCGCAGCTCGAGCTGTCGCCTTTGGCTGTTGCCGAACTCGGCCCTGGGCATCAGAGGAGGAAAAGGTACCCATACTGCTACCTTTCCCGCGTTTTCCCTTTTTCGGCCTCCTGGGGTGCCGATTCGCTTCGAAATTCTGGTCAGAGCGCACCCCAGGAGAGGTGAGTAGCGGTATCGGCATCTTTTGGTTTCTCCAGGGCATGCGCCGAGACCCAACATGATTCCACAGCGGCGCCGCAACGAGGCGCATGAATGCCGTTCTTCGAGCTGGGAAGGCCGAAGATCGGTGGCGAACCCTGTCGCGCTTCACCGTTGGTCTCTCCCACGCGCACCATGGATACGATCAGCTTATGTTTTCCTCCGCAGGTTTGAATATGCGGATCGGAGCTGCCGATATGATCACCATTCGGGTAATGAGGATCGGGACCTCGCAAAGGGGGGGGGCCACAGGTGGGGGCGGGGGGAGTTCGGTCCGTTGGCGCATGAAACCGCAGAAAAAACTATGCAAAACGAGGTCTCCGGCCGCCGCCGGAACCGAAGAGGTGTTGACAATCGGGGCGCACGGGGGGCATCGTTTTTGGGAAATTCGATGCACCAGCGGATCGAACTCACCCCCCCCCTCAGGGCCCCCCCCTTTTGGTGGACCCCGAGGGGAGGGCATGGGAGCTGGGTGCAGCTTGCCGCCTACGACTGGCGCAGGGTCGCCCAGCGAACGCCGCGCCGGCGAGCGAGCGGACGGGCTCGTTCAAGAGCGGCTGGGTAACGTCGGCCCTCGATCCCCCTCCTCTTCTCGCGGAGTCTCGTACGAGGAGCGCGGGCCGCGATGGGGGCTGCCGCACCCGCAGGGGCATGAGGGCTGCCAGAGTGCCGCCCCCCGCGCGGAGGGGCAGGCGGGCGCTCCCTGTGCTCTGGCTGCAGGCACTGCTGCTGCTGGGAGGGGTGCGCCCAGGCGAGGGACGATTCACGTTCCTCTCAGTGTGGAACCCACAGAACCTGCTGTCTCCCGCCCGCCTGGACGAGGTGTCGCGGGCACTGGCTGGCGTGGGAATTGTTGGCCTCCCAGGCACGTGTGTGCGCCAGTGGTGGAACGAGCCTCACCACAAGGCGACGTCGGTGGCCCACCACGTGGTGCACTTCGGGTGGCAGCGCTCCAGGCTTGTCAACAAGAGCTGCGGATGCGCGCTGATGCTGGCCAAGAAGTACTTCGGAGTGAACGATATTCGACGACTGGTCACCCCGCCCGTGGGCCTTCGTGGACGAGGCGGACTGGCCTACATTGCCTCAGGACCGCTGCTCCTCGCCGTGTTCGTGCTCTACTTCCCCCCGCGGCCCGCGGCCAAGGGGGAGGCACCCATCTGGCGCGACACTTGCCGTGCAGTGGTGGCTTGGGCGCGGGACGAGCTTTTGCGTGTGCCTCAGCGGTACACCCCTGTGTTGCTCATGGACCTGAACTCGGGCCTGACCCAGCACTTCGACGAGGATCCCGTGGTCGGCCAGTTTGGTGCAGCAACTGAGAGCTATGCTGGCAAGCTGGTCCATGAGTGGCTGGCGGGGGCACGTATGCAGGCGATCAACACCACGCAGCGGGTTGGCAACACTTACTTCGGCATGGGTGGAGCGTCTTCCCAGATCGACTACATTTGTGTGCCCCAGAGTGCTGGAGTGTTAGTGGAATGGGCGAAGGCGTGGCACCGCACGGCGGAGGCCGCGCGAGCGTCTCCCGCGATCCTCGATCACGTCCCCGTGGTTGCCAATATTCGGATTGTGCCGCCCTTGAACCAGCTGCCGCTGCGAGAGCGGTGGGACCGCCCGCTCTTGTCATGAGCAGTCTTGTCGGGGAATGGACGAGAGCAGTTCTTGACCGATCTTCACGAGGCGTTCCTGGAGATAGGCCCGTCGCTCGACGTGCTGGAGACGAGGGAGGCGACTACTGGCCACGCCACGCTGGTCATGGGCACCATCCGCAAGATCGGGCTGGCGCACTTTTCCCAGGACACGGCGCGCCCAATGTACGAGAAGAAGTTGGACGAGAAGAAGTGGCAGCTGCTCCGCGAGAGGCGCACCATCCTGGAGGAGGTGAAGGCGCAGGAGTTCGAGGCCATGCAGCGCTGCTCTTCTCCAGCGACCTGGCCGTCGGCTGCGGGCCGCCTTACTGGCGGCCCTTCCTCTTCCCCG